GTGAATGAGTATGTGCGTGCACGTTAACATACGTGTATTTATGTGAATATGTATGTGAATGTATGGGTGTGTGTGTGTGTGCGTGTGTGTGAGTGTGTATGTGAGTGCGTATTGGCGTTCAGGTAGCGAAGGGGGTGGTGCTACCACCGACTGTCTATAACCGGTTATCGACCTTTCCTTCGATCTGTTTATTTGGCCATCTCTCCATCTATCTATGCATGTCTCTGTCCGTCTGTCTGTCTGTTAATGTATATCTTCAGCCTTCTGCCTACTGTTTGGCCAGTTAGTTGGTTGGTTGGTTGGTTAGTTGATTGGCTGGCAGAATATATGGGTGGTGTAGTAGGCCCGTTTGGATTCATTATATACTATTGGGATGTGTATGTGTGTATGTGTATGTGTGTGTATGTGTATGTGTATCTGTGTATGTGTGTGTGTGTACGCATGTGCGTATGTGAGGGTATGTGCGTGTGTGGTGCACATCGGGAATGTTTTTTCGGTTACCGAATTGGATGGGTTATGATGCTTCTCGAGAAATATTGGGTAACAAGCTTATATTGAATAGAGTGAAAAGATACTGTTAAGATCTCTTTTTTTTGATCATAATTTTGGAATGACTCTCATGATTGTCATGCAGATGAGAAGAGGACGGGTCATTGGAAGGATTTCTGTCGCATTGTACGTACTTCACTTAGCGAGGAGGAAGGAACTATTTACCTGGCGATAATATTATCACGAATTACCGGATAATTGTTGTTATCTTTTCCTTTAACTTGTTTCTCACTGTGTGTTTGTACGTGTCTGTCTATGTCCGTGTGTTTGTGTGTGTGTGTGTGTATGTGTACATATGTATGTGTGCACATGTATGTATATGCATGTATGGATGTGTTTTGCGTACATATATATGTATGTGTATGTTTGTATGCTGCTTGATCTGTACTCATATGTTTATGCGAATGATCGGTAATATTACCATTTTATTAGTAAACAACAAACATTTAAGGACCATAAATAATCAATAACAGAGAGTTTAATTTATATTTCCCTCAAATACGATCAATAACTCGAAAGGATTCGAGAAATACTTCTGTTTACGATGATGCCTATTAGCTTGTCTTATATTTGTGTCACTCACTGATCATCATCATGAACTAACATTGTACTATCATTTATTCTGCAACAGGTTTTAAAGCGCAATTCGATTTCTTTCTTTACTTGCAAATATATTAGCAAAGTTGAAAATTAATTTAATTTTAGTAATTTAAATATTACTAGTTTACTATCGTCAACTTCCATATATTAAGCAACTTATCTTTGCATATTATTTCAAGTTTATTATCTAAATTTCAGTTGTTAGCGCAAAACTATAAGCGTATAATGTCAGAAGGATGAAAATATATGTACTTTCTTCATTTCATCATGTATTTTTATGTATGTATAGTTTTGTCATGGGGAAAGGATGCAGGTAAATGACTGTTCTTGTTCTTCTTAGATGGGAGAAGAAAAATATCATTTCTTTATTGATTTAGATTTTTTCGAACAGTCAAAAAATGGTCGAGTGATGGAATTTCATATTATTTGTATGCCTAATATCATTGTAAATGTTTAATCATCCATTTGTTACATGAGTACTGCAAAGTGGAACTGGAAAATAATCCTTTACAGATGCTTTTTAAAATGTAAAACCATTTGTGAAGAATTGTTTTTAACATAATTGTGGCAGGCGCAAATAAGAATTATATTGTGCACTTGTTTGTTCGTTACTCCTTCACTTTGTTATTTTTCCTGGAAAACAAACGAAATATTTTATTTCCAGTTTTTAACGAACAAGCCAATTATCGGCTGTCACGTGAAAAGGAGCAGTACGTGAATCGATAAGCTAAAGCGGAAGAATTATGGAAAATCAACAACAGACGACTACACTATGCCGCGCAGGTTGTGGTTTCTTCGGTTCACCATCTACCGAAGGATTATGTTCTAAATGTTATAAGGATTATGTTAAACGTAAACAGGATACGACCGCCCGCGTAAGTCCTCCGTTACCGGCTGTAGTTAGTTCGGCTGCTAATGCGGCTACAGCTACATCAAGTGTTGTTAGCAGTACGACGTGTAGTGCTGATAATACCGCTGCCACTTCGTCGACAGTGATTATCGCTGAAAAACTTAGGGAGGTAAGTGTTACGGTTTTTGCTACCCTTCTCATTCCATCATTTTTTGTCAAGATGAGAACTTGTTTAAGTGAATTTGAATTGTTAGAAATTTCGGTCCCCAAAATTCGAGTTTGGATACATTTAACTGAGCAACAATATCAAGCGACATTGAGTGACATATATGAGAAGACCTCACAGTCAGGCCAACTGGTAAACTAGAGCGGCAAAGGGAGTCTTTTCTGTGAGTTCATTGAAGTTGGAATATTGGAAATAGTTGTTGGCTTACTTAGCTGTGGCATCTCTGAAATAAATCGATCCTTATGAGAAATAAGTTTGTGTGAGGAAGAATATGCAGATTAGTTACAGTTGTAGTTTGCTTCAGGATTTTTCCTGGGATAATTTCGTTATTTAGGACTTGTTCCTCTCTCTGTTCTCTAATATCATCTACCGCACCCTTACCAATTTATCCACTATTTATCTTTGGGTAAAAATATTCCGCGGGTATTACTTCCATGGCTTTGATCAGTCTGTTTATGGTCGAGGATTTTGGTCAGGGGATTAGATTACTTCAGGTTTCTTGTTCGCAGGCTGCAAAATCCTCGGAAGATATGACTGCCCAGCTTGAATCAGTAGCAGCGGCTGTGGAAGCAGCGGGTGGTATCACGGCATCCTCGTCTGGTACCTGCTCTGGTGTCCTTTCTACATCTAGGTTTGATTTCTTTTGTACACGGACCTATAATTTGTCGATATCAGATAATTACAACATAATAAATTATTTGGTAATAACAGTACTGCATTTGAAAAACGTTTCAGCGGTAAGAATATTGTTTAC